GGGCCACGATCCTCGTGAGGGGTGTTCCCGCATTGGGCGTCGGTGGGCCGTCGGCAGCGCTCCACAGTGGGCCAGGGCCACGATCCATGTGAGAGGCGTGCCGAACTTCAGCGTCGGGCGGCGATCCAAATGTGGCGAGGTCTACGATCCGTGTGAGGGGTGCGCCGATATTGCTCATCGGTGGGCCGTCGGCAGCGCTCCCAGGTGGGCCAGGACACGATCCTCGTGAGCGGCGTGCCGGAATTGGACGTCGGTGGGCCTTCGGCAGCGCTCCCAATTGGACCAGGGCCACGATCCTAGTGAAGTGCGCGCCGGAATCGCGCATCGGAGGGCCAGGCCCACGATCCTCGAGAGGGCTGTGCCGAAATAGAGCGGCTGGCAGTGGCGGTTGCTCCAAATCCGACGTCGACACGAAGGACAAGTGTAAAACTGCCGTTTTTGTTCACTTTCTAATGCGAATCCAATCTACACACAGCCTCTACAGCGAATAGTGCACGAAAGTAGGCATTGGTGCGAAAGACACGAAGGCCAGGTTTGAAACTACGGTTTTCGTAATTCCCCTTGTAGGAGTTCTATTAAGCCTGATACAGAAGAAGAGTACACGAAGGTGAGGTTTGTAGCGACACGAAGACCATGTGCACCCCTACTACTACTATTGAGACTGATACTAAGACTAAGGGTAATACTACGAGGCAGACAGCGAACAACACTGCTATTAATAGTACTAGTAATCATACTGATAATACTCATACTACTAGTATTAATCACCATACCACTACTATTCATAATAACATCATCTTTATTAATAGTACTAGTTATGATATGGTGAGGAGGATGATGAGGAGGATGAGGATGAGGAGGAGGAGGACCAGTGTAAACCCAAGAGTCATCAACGATGTTGGAGTAGCTTCCTTTCAAGCTCCCTCCTCATATTCCCCTACAGCGGTTCATTTCCATTGATAGAACTGCCTCGTTGGAAGACACCCGTTTGAAGACCCTGAAGCATGCCAAAACATTGTTGTCGGGATTTCAACGCCACGGATCAACCTGCCTGTTGCGCCTTGGCGACCGTGAATCGTGCCAGAACGCCATTCCTAGGACTTCGAAACAGAGAACCAACGTAACTATTGCAGCCGCGTGGTCCTGATTCCTTCCAACACGCAGATTCTGGAACGCCGACGAGGGGAATCCGTGCAACTCTGGCAACTTTCCAAAACGAATGTGCGCGGCGCTGCAGCGATATCCGCATGTTGAAAAGGAACCGCCATCAATCCGTGAAACTTTGGCAACTTTTCAAAACGAATGTACGCGGCGCTAAAGCGAGATCCACATTTTGAAAAGGAGCCGCCTTTATCCGTGAAGGTCTTGAAATGTTCAAAACGGATGGACGCCGCGCTAAGACGAGAGCCACATTTTGAAAACGACCCGCCCTTAATCCGTGAAGCTCTTACAAATTTACAAAAAGAATGTGCGCCGTACTAAGACGAGAGCCACATTTTGAACACCACCTGCCCTTACTCAGTTAAACTTTAGCAACTTTTAAACCGAATGTGCGCCGCGGTAAGGCGGGAACCACATTTTGAAAACCACCCGTCCTTAACCCGTCAAGTTTTTTTGCGTGTTTTACAAGGAATGTGCGTGGCGCTAAGGCGAGAATCACATTTTGAAAACCACCCGCCCTCCATCGGTGAAACTGTTGTCAAATTTTCAGCTTCAAAGTCATACATGTTGAGGAAGTGTCAGGCGAAACGCCCGGCCCGCCCTAAAAACTGGCCTCGGGGTGCGACAGGACAAAGTTATCTATCAGGAAAAGGAATAGAGGAGGCGGAGGAGGAGGAGGAGGAGGAGGAGGAGGAGGAGGAGGAGGAGGAGGAGGAGGAGGAGGAGGAGGAGGAGGAGCGCCGTGTGTCTCCTCGGGGCGGGCGTCTGGGAGGCGACGGGGCGGGGGCTTGGGCCGGGGCGGGGGGAGGGGTTGGAGCCCCCCGTCCACTGCTCCCCACAAACAGGGGTTTATCATTCCCGGGGAATCATGCTCCCTTGTCAATTGTTTTCGGACTACTTTCGGTAGCCGCGCCCCGCTCGAAAAGCTTCGACACGGCCGTCCAACGGGCTTGCATCCTGACCGCGCATCCTCACTACCAGTTTTGTCTGTGCTGCACAACCTGCGCGCTTCAGCCGCCCCCCGAGCTCCTGGCAGAGACGTTGTCAACCTTCGGTGTGACGAGCAACACAGGCAGTGGGAGCTGCTCGGGGGCGGGGAACGAGACGTGCAGGTTCTTTGTTGGAGTTTCACCACTCGCAGTACCAGGTCCGCGCGACGGTGGCGGATCGGCTCACGGCCGAGGGGGCGGAGCGCAAGATATAGGAACGGCGCCACGAGGTGCACTCGACCGAGCGATCGGCCATATCGTGAACAGCCAGCAGTCAGCTAGAGGGCCCAGCAAAAAGTCGAGGTGGAACACGCGGTAGGCCTCAGTCGTCTCTCCCTCCAGCGACCCCGCGAGCATCCAGTACTTGTGCTAGGTTTCGCGAGCTTGTCCAGACAGGTCTACTCCCCCTCCCCCTCGGAATGCTGCTCGGCTCGTCATGCAGCTCCAGAGGCCATTTTCCATGCCTCTGACCGAGGCTTAGCAACTATGTCGCTCAAGTCGGCGCGAATCAGCCCCTGCGGTTCTTCCTCCCGCCTTTCCTTCCTCCCTTCCTTCCCTCTCCCTCCCTCTGTATTCCGTTCTCGTCCGCCTGCCTCCGGTCTCATCCTCCCTCATTTTCCCCCCGTTTCCTCTACGTCCTCCGTCCTCCTCCTCCTCCTCCTCCTCGTCCTCCTCGTCCTCATTGTCCTCCTCCTCCTGCTCCTGCTCCTGCTGCTGCTCCTCCTCCTCCTCCTCCTCCTCCTGCTCCTCCTCCTGCCGTTGTGGCTCAAGCACGAGAGGGCTCAAGCACGAGAGGGGCTCAAGAGGGGTAGCTTCGCTGAGCAGTTGTCGTGCCATGTCGTGTTTTCTTGTGACTCCGAGCGTCGACCTTGCGTGGTGGAGAAGAGAGTTGCAATCAGGCAGGCTTTGGTCAATACCGAACCGTTCAAGCAACACGTTTCGTTTATGAATCTGCGGCCCAACACGCCTACACATGCTACGATTCTAGGTCTGGCATGCTTGATGACAGTGTTGGTGCTGAGCCTTGGATATTACGTGCATGCGAATCCAGGGGCAAGTACTGGAGAGGTACCGTAGTCCCAAACCTTCCCATGCGATGTGGGATCCGAGCAGATCGTCACACGTGACGAGTGCGGATTTACACTGGAAGTACGCGTGGAGACTTGCATGGGGGCTCTTCATTAAGTAGGGCGGCGAAACGTGTACCATGCGTGTTCTGCGAGATTCTATGAATATCCGTAAGGGCTTCGCCTCCTGCCGCCGGCCCCCTCTCTCGGAGAATGGGCTATGGAAGAGCGAAGTCATGATGCTTTGGCTTCGCCGTGAAGCAGTGTTGGGACCTGTGTTTTTCGACCCTGACCCTACGGATCTGCGTGAGGGGTGCCGCCGAATTTCAGAAATGTGGCAAATCCCATGTGTTTTTAGACCCTGACCCTGCCGATCTGCGTGAGGGATGCCGCGGGATTTCAGAAATGTGGCAAATCCCATGTGTTTTTGGACCCTGACCCTGCCGATCTGCATGAGGGGTGCCACGAAATTTCAGAAATGTAGCAAATCCTTTGTGTTTTTGGACCCTGACTCCGCCGATCTGCGTGAGGGGTGCCACCGAATTTCAGAAATGTGGCAAGTCCCTTGTGTTTGTGCACCCTTACATCGCCGATCTGCATGAGGGGTGCCGCTGGATTTCAGAAAGTGGCAAATCCCGTGTGTTTTTGCACCCTGACATCGCCGATCTGCGTGAGGGGTGCCACCGAATTTTAGAAATGTAGCAAATTCCTTGTGTTTTTTGGACCGTGACCCTGCCGATCTGCGTGAGGGGTGCCACCGAATTTCAGAAATGTGGCAAATCCGTTGTGTTTTTGGACCGTAACCCTGCCGATCTGCATGAGGGGTGCCACCGAATTTTAGAAATGTTGCAAATCCCATGTGTTTTTGGACCCTGACCACGCCGATCTGCGTGAGGGGTGCCACCGAATTTCAGAAATGTGGCAAATCCCATGTGTTTTTGGACCCTGACCCCGCCGATCTGCGTGAGGGGTGTAAATTTTTCGCCACCCCAGCAATTCAGAGCATACGATTTCTCCGTGGTAAAAATAAATGTTTTGGGCCTCCTCCCCTCGCGCGGTCCATCACAAAGGAACAGTAAGCAGCAAGAAGTCAACAAGGAACAGTAAGCAGCAAGAAGCAGAATTGTAACAGTGGAAACTGGAAGCTGCAAGTGGTACAGGAAACTGCGAATTCCCGGCCTACAGCCTGGTGGCCCCAAAAGGGGGCCAGCGGATTTAGACAGTGTAGGCTAGGCGGCTAAGATTTGCTCTGCGAATGCGGTTCAAGGAGACACGGCTTGCATACACAATTTGGTGATCGCCAGTTGCAAACCGTTGCTTTGATATTCAAGCCCAGATGTTTGGATGAACATCGGCGAGTCTGACAATAATAGTAGATTGTTCGATGGGTAGCAGATGTCGAATGATTTTCGCACATGCAACATTAGCGGCAATCTCGTAAACAAGTGCTATATCGAGCACGTTAGTTATTTCCAAGAATGAAGCTATCAAACAGTACGAGGTTGATAGTTTCTTCTGCAACTGAGCTCCAGCAGCCCGCGCGGGACGCTCTCTGGCGCACGTCGGTCACCCGTCACCCGTCACCCCTCCTCCTCTGTTTTTCTCACCCTTTCTCATCCTCTTGCTCCTCCCTCCTCCTCCTCCTCCTCCTCCCTCCCTCCCTCCCTCCCTCCCTCCCCTCCCCTCCTTCCCTCCCTCCCTCCCTCCTCCCTCCCTCCCTCCCTCCCTCCTCCCTACTACCTCCTCCTCCCTCCTCCCTCCTCCCTCCTCCTCCGCCCCTGAGGCCTGCGAGATTCTGTCCTACCTCGTGCTGTACGGGCCTTCGCCGCTGCCTGCGCCGCTGTGGGGCGCGCGGCCTGGCCTGCCAAACAACCTTCGCGCGCTCTGGGGGAGGAGGAGGGGGAGGAGGAGGAGGAGGAGGAGGAGGAGTAGACCGGGGTACTTTGGTCCGGGGGCCCCCAGGGGCCGCCCCTCGCCCGCGAAGTGCAAATGCTGTAAAGCTGTCGCTGGAGATCTTAGCACGCCTCTGGCCCGTTGGGCCGGCGAAAGTCCCGGCGCTGCCGCCCTGTGTGATCCCGATGGATTCAAACGTGCGAAAGTTATCCAGTGGCATCGTTTGCTGGGCAGAGGTAGCTTAGTAAGTTTTAACCCGGCAATGCTCCCATCGTTGCGTCGCCATCGCACTTTGGAGCACGCGCGGGTGGTTTCGCCGCCACAACTGGCAATCGCTCACTGACGATGGATTCTTGCGGGGGCTATTGCCCGAGCCGGCGTTGATGCGCGCAGTTCTTTCAGAGGGTATGGCGCGAACGCCTGCTGGAGAGATCGATGTGCGTGCTCGGAAGCCGCTGTTGCGCTTGAATTGAAATGGCCTTGCGGGCGAGCTCTCAACGCCGTTGGGAACGTGGCCGCGCGCTGGGTAGGAAAGGCGGCCTGCAATGTTATGAACAATCCGTGATGCCTGGCGCCGCTCGCCGTTCGACCCAGGAGCGGCCCGCAGGAAAAGCCAACGGGGCCCGAAGAGAGACCCGAGAGTGCTGGGTGATCACGCGGTGCTTTTGGGCCACTCTCGGGGCTTCCTTGGAGGCCTCTTGGGGGGGTCCGGACCGGGGGGGGTCCGGGCCGGGGGGGTCCGGGCCGGGATGGGCCCGGGCGCCCTCGTGGGCCATTTTGAAGCCGTCTTGGGTCCAACGACGAGGTCCTGGGTGCTGAGGGTCCTGGGGTATCTGGGGTGGTTGGGGCAAGGGTGGTCGTCGTCCTGCGGTCTTGTGCGGGCTGGGTTGGGACGTCCGGTTCGGTTCTCGTCTGTTCGGTTCGGGGGCCGCCCGGCTTCGGTTCGGTTCCGGTTCTGGTACGGTTCGGTTCCCCCCGGTTCGGTTTTGAATGAATTCGATTCGGTCCGGTTCAGTTTTGATTTTTTTCCCCACATGCTTCGTGGGGTTCTGGTTTTCTTCCTTGTCGCGCCGCACCCGCGACACTCCCACACACACACACCTCACTCTTCCTCTATTCCTCACAGCACTGCTCAGCACATCTCAGATCAGCTCAGCTCAGCTCAGCACGGCACAGCTCAGCACAGCACAGCTCAGCTCATCTCAGCACAGCACAGCGCAGCACAGCACAGCACAGCATAGCTCAGCCCAGCTCAGCACAGCACAGCTCAGCTTAGGGGGTGCGCAGGGGGTGGTCCCTCACCGCGGCCGCACGCAGGAATGCAGGGTGCGGCAGGCGTGGCAATGTCTCCATAACAGAGGGGGAGCACAGGGGGTGCGGTCTCTATGCGTTGCAGGCACGCAGGGCACGGCAGGCGCGGCACTTTCTCGACACCAGGAGGGTGCGCAGGGGGTGCGGTCTCTATGCGTTGCAGGCGCGCAGGGCGCGGCAGGCGTGGCACTTTCTCGACACCAGAGGGGGTGCACAGGGGTGCGGTCTCTATGCGTTGCAGGCGCGCAGGGCACGGCATGCGCGGCATTTTCTCGACACCAGGAGGGTGCGCAGGGGGTGCGGTCTCTATGCGTTACAGGCGCGCAGGGCGCGGCAGGCGTGGGAATTCTCGACACCAGAGGGGGTGAACAGGGGGCGCGGTCTCTATGCGTTGCAGGCGCGCAGGGCGCGGCAGGCGTGGGAATTCTCGACACCAGAGGGGGTGAACAGGGGGTGCGGTCTCTATGCGTTGCAGGCGCGCAGGGCACGACAGGCGCGGCACCTTCTCGACACCAGGAGGGTGCGCAGGGGGTGCGGTCTCTATGCGTTGCAGGCGCGCAGGGCGCGGCTGGCGTGGCACTTTCTCGACACCAGAGGCGGTGCACAGGGGGTGCGGTCTCTATGCGTTGCAGGCGTGCAGGGCACGGCTGGCGCGGCATTTTCTCGACACCAGGAGGGTGCGCAGGGGGTGCGGTCTCTATGCGTTGCAGGCGCGCAGGGCGCGGCAAGCGTGGGAATTCTCGACACCCGAGGGGGTGAACAGGGGGTGCGGTCTCTATGCGTTGCAGGCGCGCAGGGCACGGCAGGCGCGGCATTTTCTCGACACCAGGAGGGTGCGCAGGGGGTGCGGTCTCTATGCTTGCAGGCCGCAGGGCGCGGCAGGCGTTATTCTCGACACCAGAGGGGTTAACGGGTGCGTCTCTAGGTGCAGGCGCGGTCACGGCAGCGGCGGCATTTTCTCGCACCGGATTCTCGAGGGGGTGCGGTTCTCAGAGGGCCCGGCAGGCGTGCTCACATCGGGTGCGGTCTCTATGCTTGCAGGCGCGCAGGCACGGCAGGCGCGCACTTTCTCGACACCAGAGGGTGCGCGGGGGGCGGTCTCTATGCGTTGCAGGCGCTCAGGGCGCGGCAGGCGTGGCACTTTCTCGACACCAGAGGGGGTGCACAGGGGGTGCGGTCTCTATGCGTTGCAGGCGCGCAGGGCACGGCAGGCGCGGCATTTTCTCGACACCAGGACGGTGCGCAGGGGGTGCGGTCTCTATGCGTTGCAGGCGCGCAGGGCGCGGCAGGCGTGGGAATTCGTTGCAGGCGCGCAGGGCACGGCAGGCGCGGCATGTTCTCGACACCAGGAGGGTGCGCAGGGGGTGCGGTCTCTATGCGTTGCAGGCGCGCAGGGCGCGGCAGGCGTGGGAATTCTCGACACTAGAGGGGGTGCACATCGGGTGCGGTCTCTATGCGTTTCAGGCGTGCAGGGCGCGGCACGCATGGCAAAGTCTCGATAACAGAGGGGGTGCGCGTGGGGTGCGGTCTCTATCCGTTGCAGGCTCGCACGGCGCAGCAGGCGTGTCATTTTCTCGACATCAGAGGGGGCGCGCAGGGAACGGCCACCAACATCATTCTCACATGCTTCTTTTCAGCTATCATCACTCCAGCCATAATATAAGTATGTGGGGTTCCTCGGTAGCGTAATTTGTCTGGGGCCGGTTCGGTCCGGTCCGGTCGCGGTTATCGGTTTTCGGTGCGGTTTGGTTCCGCAATGAAATAGTCGTAGTAGTAGTCGTCGTAGTAGTAGTAGTAGTAG